TTCAGTTTCACTTTCAAAACTTGAAAACAGCCGAACACGTCTTCTTTCGCGTACACTCAAAATGTTCTCCGACTCACTTAATGAGAACTTATTTTCTTTGTCACTAATGTCACTATTACTGTATCACTATAATATCACTACAATTTTCAATTTCTCTTTCCTCTGGTTCACTTCCTTCACACTCACAGAATTCACTATCCTCGATATCGATTCTTATATGCTGAATTCCTTCACACTCACAGAATTCACTATCCTCGATATCGATTCTTATATGTTGAACTCGATTAATAAAAATCAACGTGTTTAATGTTCGATTTTTATTGTTTTTATCGCCAACGGCAACGTGTTAAAGCTCGTTCCTGCCGGTAGATTAAAAAGAAAACCAAGAAACTGTATTTTCACAGTAGTTTGACAAGTACGAGACGTTCAATGGTCGGCGCCTTTTTAGGTTTCTCACCCCCTCCGTGGTAACACGTTGTTTTTGCCCTCCTCTTTTTGTTTTGAAAGGGCAACCGACCATCTCGAGCTGATCGACTTACAAATCTACGAGCAGTTTCTTCTCGTTTTGCTCTTTCATCTTTGCCGGCAAGCATTTCCGAATGACCCCACCGATGGACCACCGTCGGCTGTAAAACTTTCATTTGTCTTGTCGCTCGGACTCGAAACTACCCTTCGAAGTTGTGAGAAATTTTTGACGATGATTGTTACATTTTATCCTTATGTATTTAAGGGTTGTACAAAATACATCCAATTAGTTCCAATTTGTTCCAACTTGTTTGAACTTGTGGAAGCTTGGTGCATACTATGCGGTTAACAAAGAGGAATTTAAAAATTCGGTACCTAAAAAAAGAAGAATTTTATGTCTCTATTTTCCATAGAAGACACTACTTTCACCTTTTCAAAACAGAAATCACTCGATTGTCTCATTTTTTAAAGACATTTCGAAATTGTCATTAGAAAACAAATAACTGTCTATTTTCATTATTAATACATAATTATGAATTGTAAAATCAATAATTATTCTATTATCCTAAATCGAGTTGATCTCATTGCAAACAGCGCATACCTTCGTCTATAGTAAAGAACCTGAAAAAGTGAAAATCAAGTTCTTCGTACCTTCAAACCCTTTTTATTATCCACGTATAAAAATTTCTAAGCTTTTACAAGCCACTTATCCTGTCAGTTATGGCTCCAAATACTAATTGCTAATATTCGAATATCTGTATCTTGTCTAAATCATCGCTGACAACATAGTTGAGTAACCAAAGCGAAAGAAAGGATGAATATTTCAAGAATCGAGGGAATTTATCCAATGGTTTCGTGCATCAGATTCCAGTATCGAGCTATCGAACGTTTCGGACGTGCACGTGGGCATGTATAGGGCGGTGAGAAAATTACAGAGCCGCGTCAGAGCTACCGACTGTTCGCGTCGGCGAACGTTAACCGGTAATTTCAAAGATCGAGAAACGCGGGCCTGATTAATGGCGCGACCATTTAATTTATTCATTCACCGTTGCAAGGAAGAACCGGACCACGAATCCTTGGTGGTCTAACGCGGCCAGCTGATGGGGCGTGCCGATGCCGCGATCCATCTTTCTTTCGACTATGTATCGTGTGTTCCACTTCACGATCCTACTCGCTCGCGGCGATTATATCGCGTTTTGCGCTGTTTCCACTTTCTTTTCTGTCTATTTCTTTATTATTCTTTCCTTTCTCTTTAAATCTTCCACGTAGGTAAAAGAAAGATAAATTCTCGCGCGATCGCGGAAGTGTTTCGTTAACATCTTCTTTTTAACGTTTTCTTTTTTTCCTTTTTCATCCAGAGAGTTAAATGTTCGTGTAATGTATCTGTACATGTAAAGGAATAGGGAAATTCCATGGAAGGAAGCGTGGATTGTAATTTGTCGCTTTGATAATTTTATTTTGGCGGGTAAAAGCTTGTGAATTCTTGGAACTTATCATAAGTGGATCACGACAATAAGAGCTTTAGATATTAGAACGAAATTCAAGAAAATGAGGAAATCAGGATCATAATTTCTCGTTTTAGTCATCTTATTCTATCGCCTAACTTGGGAATTGTCAAATACTCTTTTTGATTGCACCATTTTGCAAATAGCTGAGCGTAAGTTGCAATCGTATTATGTATAAAGTGAGTTGATTATAACGTGTGTGTATATTTAATAATGTAACGAGTGGATGAATTTTTAATAGTCAGTTGTATTAAAATTAGTATAGGTACAAGAGACACTGTATGCCACTTATAATCGTCGCTTGTTCAATGCTATTATGCCGATCGAAGAAAGGATAACAATAATTTCCTAGGGAACACGTTTATACATTTATATCGACGGACGTTACCACAAGAAGTTAAACTTCTTATGTAACTCAGGCTGAAGATTACAAGAAACAGCAGTAACGATCTGTCCCGATTTCATTTACCTCTAGACCTTGTAAACTAGAAAAATCGTTCGTATTCAAAGGCACAATAATATGATTGACCGCCATTTTCCCAATAATGAGCGAACCAATAAATTTCTTTCAAATTTTATATACATATAAAACAGATGTTTATCTAATACTAGGATTATCTACTAGGATTATTTCATGATTTTTGTAGACGCCATCATCGTAAAATATATCTTTCTTTCGTGTTATTCTAGTAGAAATATTAAAGACGTATGTTGAGATTTGTATGTACAGACTACGGGATAGATGAAGAATTTTTTCACTTTTTCTGCTTTGAATAAGTAACACAACGTCAGTTGTGGTAGCGAGTAAGAATGGAAGCTTTCTCAAAACGAGCACCAACCTAACCCAAGCAATAACCTAAATAATAATGAAAAATAATTGCATAAAATCTACTCTGTGTCTTTCTGAAATATGACCAAAGATATGTAAACAATTTTACACTTCTTAGTCCATGAGTATATAATAATTTCGTGTTCCAAATGGCACCTAAGGTGACGCTGTCGTTGCGATGCCTGCAAATGGGAATATCCCACTTGAAGATTCTTAGAATCTGGAACATAAATTCTAACTGAAACACAAACCAGTTCTTCGCGGGATAATTTTTATAACTTTATTTCACAAAATCAGGTGTACCTGCGATTGAGGTGAAACATAAAATGAAGGAAAACGGCACTACACGACCGCCAAGAAATTCTTTTTTTTCAAATCTCCCGCTGATGATTAAAGAGCCTCGAGAGGAAAGTTTCAGCGTCGAGTGCGAATTAACTGCGAACTACTCGCTAAGCTCCACTTTTGATCCCCTTCGGTAATTGCCTGCGTGGTAATTTTCCCTCAGTTGGAATATTACGTTGCGCAGGAAGCTGTTACCTTAATGGTCGCTTTTATCGTGGACACGTTTCTTCTTTCTTGTTTCTTTTGCTCCTCCCGTCCCACCTTCGAAACGGCGAATTTTTCGTGCGCGATCGCAAAATCTGCCGTGGAAATGTTATAAGCCGATACACCAACGATAAAATTCTACGCACGCGAGTTGCCTCGGCTAACACCGCGTTCCACTTTGTCGACAAATTGCCTCTGCTACTGGGCGTTCCTCGAGATACCACCAGTTTTCAAGATAAAACTCGAACGAGCTGAATGAATATTAAAATCGATTAAATTTCAGCCTTCAAACTGGGAAATAGGCAATATTTATGCTTCGAGATTATTGAAATTTTGCAAGATTCGAGATTGCGATAGTTTCAATGTATCCTACATAGAAATAAATTTTTGATTAAATGTGAATGAATTTCAGATAATCTACAGGAGAAACTAAAGATAACAGATTTCACACTTCGAGGTGAAAATAGGCAATTTCGATTATACACGACAGTTTCAATTTTATAAAATTTAAGCTTGTATTATTTTTATATTTAAATAGAAATTATAAATGTAGGAATGTTTATTATAAATTAACAGACAGCATTGCCACGTTCACTTTTCCTTTAACAAACCTTGGTAACGCTCACAACACTCCTTGACAACATTAACATATCTTAACAACGTTTATAAACAATCAGCCACGTCTTTCGCTAACGTCACACCATCCCACATAAATATTTAAGTAAATATAAAACACTGGAGATAAATGTCAAAATAAGAAAAATGTGTTGTTTGGAAAGAAATATTCTGCCAAAGTGACTAAATGACGCCGATTGGAAGTATTATAAAATTCGAGGGTGTTTCCAGGATATCTTGGATAAATACGAAGAATAATGTCCCTGTTATTCGCGAAGAAAATTAGGGAATGCAAAAAGGGCCCGGCCGATTCAATTTCGAGGGACCTCGCATAACGAGGGCCCCGAGGACCAAATTATGAGTCGGTGTTGTTATAATCTAATTTTGCACGGTGGCGCTGTTACGGGAATATTTGCGAGAGGCTAATTCACTGATTCACCTGGATCATCAATCTTGGTCAGACTGGCTGGGAAGAGACACCGAGTGTCCGGTGTGCTCTCGATCAAAGGAGTTTTTGCCAAAGCGATTGGAAAGGAATACACCGTGTTTAATATGCAATTTCCCTTGTCAGTGATTATCAAAGAAATTATCCAGTTCAAGATTGGAATGTGGTGAAATTATAAAAACTTGTCGAACAACCGTAATATGAACAATTAATTCTACTAATAATATTTCGGGATTAACAATTCTTTCTCGTACATTGTTTTCTGAATTCATGAAAAAATACTTCGATATCTTTCAGTACTAATTTTCAGAATATTTATTAGAATCAAAAGATAATTATTTCTAATCTTTTGATCAAAATATTAACCATATAATTTCAGATACATATTGGGCCAAAGTGCTAATTATTTGTTAAAAATATATTTGCATATAATGATATTCATCGTGTATTTTATAATTATATTTGAATTAAAGATGAGCGCAATTTTGAATTAAGAATTAGAATCAGAATTCTAAATTAATTATTAATTTAAGTGTTTTCATCAGACAATCAATTTTTTTCTTTTTATACGGAAGAAAGCTTAATTGAAACTTACCATCACGGTCGCCAAGTTTAGTTTCATCCTCGGGGTCGCGACCACGCAATAGTCTTGAGATCGCCGAGACACTTGGAGCGCTAGTTCGGTCGCAAATTCCTTCCTTTATCAATCTGTCGCGTATCTCCCACGAGAATATTCCCGGATTATCACGTTTGTACTCTTCGATTCTACTCTCTACTTCTGGTGTAGCTACTCTAGGTTTGCTGCCGCCAATCACGCCAGGCCTGATGCTTCCGGTTTCTTGGTAGCGGTTCAAAATTTTCGAAACACACCCATGAGATACTCTTAGCTGTCTATTTGAACAAACAAGCCACAAATTAATTTTTGAATTCATCATAATCGAGTTATCAACCTTGTTATACGTTGCTTCGTTAATCAGCGTTTCGTCAACATTGCAGTTCATTCCACCCCGGTTATTCTGAAAAGTTTGATAACCCGATCGTGAAAGTCGCACATTAGTTACAAATGAAGTGTTATTAGAACTTTCTTGAAATATTTCTTCGACACATGGCAAGGTTAAATATCTCAAGAAAGTCACGATAAGTTAAAACAGATGTAATATTTTTTAAAAAATAGAGCACAGTAAACGTCTCAAGAGAAGATATCTTTTTAAAAATCCTAAGAGGGATTTAAAAAGGGAAGTAGGACGAGATTTTAGTCTATAAATTTCGAATTGAGAAGATTATTGAGGTTTCCACCTCGAAATCACACAGGGTCTGACCCCAGCTGCAGCCATTTCCACAATTTTTAGTCGGATATGATTTGGTAAAGGTCTCCCATTTATGAAGACACCGCCAAGTTGGTTAACGCGTCCTTGACCTGGTATCGATCCCAAATCTGCAAAGAAGAACGCATAGAATTAAAAAAAAAGAACTTTAAGAAATCCATACTAAACTATCGTTTCATTTTACACTACGTTCCTAATCTATCAAATGCAATTCTAAAAAACGTTAGCTGCATTAAATAAATTAGAAAAGTCTCATCAATAGACTGTAAATTTTTACACGTCTATGTAAAGTGTAAAACGCAAAGTTATACATAAAATATCATAAATAAAATAAATAATATAAAACATTAGAAAATAAGACATTCTATTCAAATTTTATTTCTTCGTCCTCGATTTATCAATGTTTTAAGTATCTTATTAGTTTCCTTCAAAAATTTCATATTATCTCGATTTTCTTTCATCTTGGTTCCGTTCATTTCAAATTCAATCACACGTCGAGCATAGACATTTCTAACAAAAGAACTGTATTCTCTCTCTCCCCCTCTCTTATCATTTAAGACTACGAACATTGTCTCCCGAGACAGAAAGGATTCGCGGATCGAAGGTCGATTGCGAAATCGCGGAATTCTTTTGTGTTGTTCTTGCTCACGCGAACCAGCCGAGAAAACAGTTACTCGATGCAGAATAAAGAGAAACTCGGATCTATCGTTCCGCCTTCACCTCCACGTATTTCCTGTGTATTCCATCGGGGAAACAGGACGAAAGGGGAGACGCGATGGAAAAAAGAGAGGAAACCGACGAAGAAGGAGTTGCAATAGACTGGCGCGAGCAGTCACATAAATAACGATAAGGCCAATGAATCTAAAGGGTTTACGACGCACAACACTGATAGCGTGTAATTTGTCCAGTTCACCGTAATCTATGTCGCGCGATCGCGATCGGAAACAACTGCTTGCATTGCGATTTCTTTTCGTCGCGACTTTCTGACGCGTACTCTCTAACGCGCTTCATTTCTCTGACAGTTGCCTTCGATCACTTGAGACAGTCTTATTAATAAGTTAAAGCGCAAATTGGATAAAACTTGAAATATAAGTAATTATTTAATTGTTTGTATATTAATGGTATACTCCGTGATATTTGCAAGTGTATCAATAGGACAATATTTAAATTGGTAAATTCGCAACTAATTTTCGGGGAAAAAGTTTAAATCTTTTCTATAGGCATACGTTATTGACAAAAAGTTTGGAATCATTAAGTGTTCCAATAGAAGACGAAAATTTAAATAAAAAAATCAATTTAAAATATTAGAGAACTCTTCGGTAAAAATTTTGTCAAAATAGAAAATGTTCTCATTGATATTCGTAGTACTATCTTCAAATTGATAATAAAATTAGGAGTTGATTCTATGTAGATGCAATTGAGGAAGTAATTCCAAACAGTTGTCTGACCGTGAAATCTAGATCTACTTACATCAGTCAGCGAATCTTGCGCTATATTTGAATAAGTAGAGTTCTCACTGAATTGGATTGAATATTCTGGTCACATAGATCAAAGTGTTAAGAAATACACCATACATGTGTGACTCACTTTTGTGACACAGTAACGAGAGGAAAAACGAGGTGGCCGACGATGGAAGATCGCCGATGCGAGACACGAAGAAAAACGAATTATCATTATTATTGTCGTTCGTTTAATATTCCCAGATCCACTCACTTGGTAATTATCTATCTATCTAGCTACAGCAGGGAGCTGACATTGGAAAAAATCTTCACACGCTCGAGTAGACACTTCGATCGTAATTACATTTTTTTGTGCTGTTGACCACATTAGCAACCACACGATTTTTATCCTTTTCAATGGAAACTTCTTGTAATATCTACATATGTATTATGGGAAACATTTCTGATAAATCGTGAAGGATTCTAAGGAATCAACGTACGTCTGCGACTTTAACGACTTTTACTCTTAATTCTGACTCTGTTTAATGAATGTAAAATTGATGATACCAGTTAATGTTTCGTAAGGTAATATTTTACTGCGAACCTCTGCAAAAATCAATTTCCCTTTTCTGCGTTTTATTGAGCAAATTTTGTTTTAAAAAAGACTCTGAAGAATGTTTTTTTTTTACCAAGACTATTCGAAACATTACACTAAAGATAGTGATTCGTCTTTGTATAAATTTCTACACTATTTCTAAACATACTACTAAAGCATAAATATTGTTAAATATTAATAAAGCTGAGGGAAAACGCTGTAGGATTTTTTTATATTAAAATACCAAAGAAAAGTCGGAAGACACGGTTCTACAGTAAAATATTCTGTTAGGAACTTCTGACGAAACTTGATTTTTATATATTTAAAGACAATTATGTTTCTGGTAAATTTTTGAAATAAGGCGAAACTTTGAAAACATCCAATAAAGTGAATTAAGTTTCAAACGAATTATTACCATAATTATGAACAAAATATCGGAACAATAGAATGAAAGGAAAAGCGCACAAAGCGATAGATGAGGGTCACCTGTAAAAGGAAGCGGTCCTTTACGGGTAACGAAACTGCCGATTTTCTTCGCTTTCAATTTTTTCTAGCGCGTTAGAAATTCGTGAGTTTTTCGAGGGGATGGCGAGAAATCGCATACCTGATCCTTCCAAGCGGAAAACCCGCTGAAAAAGTTAATTGTTAAACAATGTTTCTAATATTGTTGATTAGAAATTTCCCACGGTGTTAGCTAGATCAGGTTACTTCGACGGGGAAAGAAGAGGAACTGAACCAAAGAATCGACGTTCACGTAACGAACCAACGAAGAAAAATGCACCAAGCAACCGGAAAAAAGGCGAAACGACGGTTTTGATTGCGCAGAATCGGTTGCATAAGTCGAGTTATGCATCGAGCGTACTCGACAACCGAAAAATGATGGGGATGGAAAAAACTAGTGTTCTTAATTCTTGGGCTGATTAAGTCAATTTTTCATAAGTGGATTTTGTTAAATTGTTTTATAGATGAATTTCAATTATTATTTAAGTTCTTTTATTACATCTTACTATTTGGATTATTATCTCTATTTTATAAAATTCAATGGCCAAAAAAATTATTCTGAAAAATATACGTTCTTGCTTACTAATGAAGGAATTCATTTTACGAATGCATCGCAACTTTTTTCTTCTTTAATTCTTGCGATTTAGGAAGAGTTGAGAAAGCTGGTGTTTGCTAATAGTTAGACCAATCGAAGCCATTGTTATTCAGTGAATTTTGTTAAATCCTTCTTTAGTTGAATTTCTATTACGTTCATTTATGCTGCTGCTCGATAATAAGAGATTAATTTTATGACGTGTTGAAACAGACGATGTCAGACTCAATTTAACGTTTGATCTTGATTCTACTTAAAGAATGTAGAATAATGTCCAGGAAATTTTCTCCACTTTTCTATTTCAAGTAAAACGAAGTTTTTAGTGCAACGAAATTCTCCGAGTTCTCTCTTAAATTTCCCCGATCACAACTTGCAATTCCAAGTCTGATATTCCACAAATCTCGCTAACGACTCCTCTAAACATTCCAACTGTTGTTCAGTTTCAATCTTGCTGTATTTGATTGATCGAAAATCTCTACGGCCACAAATCCTGTCTAGTTAAAATGTACTTATATTTTAAACATGGAAACAGAACTTTTAAAAAATGTCAGTCTAATATTTCTCTTGGTGTTGAAAAATGATCCACAAAATGTTTTATAATAAAGTATATCTTTTTTTAGGGAATATAAAGTTTATTGAGTCCAAAAATACAGTTTTAGGTACATATCCACAATAAACGGTAAATTTTTGTAATGGTATATTAGGCAAAATTACCGATACGCAGCGGTACGACGTAGCCATGCTGTATTATGTGTCGGCGCTTTACACTTTTCGTTGTATAATACAATTTTTGGGTTTAAGCCGCTGAGGAGCGCAGCTTTTTTATTTTTTTTTATTTTTTTCTGTCCTGAAAACTTGGTCGCAAAACAGGATGCTTCGGTGTAATAAAGTATATCTCACGTGAGTTTCGTGAAAAGAAATTTACAATTTAGGTTACTTCCCATAGACTTTTTTAGGTAGATCAGTAGTTTCTTTAGAACTTTATAGAATTTATTAGTAAGAAAAATGTTCAATACAACATTTTACTAAGAAAAATTATAAATTGAAAAATGAATTTACAGATAGCTGGAAGACAATTGTAAGTAACGATGAATGCTATATCGAATGAATAATATATAGAAATTTCAATTGAAACAATTGACTGTATTCCTTTCAGAGAATTTTTCGAACAATTTAACACTTTAGTTGAAAATAAGAAGAAAATTATGAATGACGAAGGAAGCTAGCCAAATTGGAATTTGATGCGTTTATGGGAAATTGACGAGTTGATTTATCAATTCACTCGTAACTCTATTGCCATTGAAATCGTTCTTGCAATTAATTTTCAATAAAGGAAGCAGGATTTCCGAGAAATATAAATTGCCAGGGAACACCAGCTTTTACTTCTCGCGGCTGCCCGCGTGTTTCAACATTCTATAAAATAATAAACGATTACCGATGGGACGTACGCGTAATTGCGAAAACGCATCCGCAACATTATTAATCTCCCAGGAATGTTTAATTACACGTTACGCGCCCGCTAAACGCTTCCATTTTGCATACAAGCCGCGGGAGTACGATTCGGTGACTAATCGTTGCATGCAATTAAACACCGTGCGTAATACCAGACAGTGACAAATGATCGGCTACTGTCCAAGCAAATGACAAACAAGAATGCGAAATTCACAAGCAACCTCTTTATTTGCATCCTGATGGTACATATTGTATAATACTTTTCTTTCTCGGCGCATTTGATTGCTTTGGGCGGATAGTTTATGCATCTGTAGAAAATTTAAGACGCGAAAATACATAGAATACGTCGTAATTTGCAGAGGATACGAAATATTCAAAGTATAGTATACACTATAATATTTAATAGAAAAATGTGAAAGCAATCTCCGCTTAGATTTCCTTATTTTAATTACATTCATGAAAGCATCAAATTGCGTAAACACCTGCAGTCCAGTTATAGTTAGTTACATAGAATTCTGTATATCGATTTCTATTTTATTGCAGATTACATTTCTGTTCTTTGATTAATTACAGTTAATTCGAAACTCTCGTGAGATTCGAGATTGGACGCCAGGATGATCAAATGGGAGGTTCACCGCGTGGAAAAGTATGAAAATTTACGAAGCTATGAACGAGAGACGGAAAGTTTATTTTTGAAAGTTTCGAGGAGAGCAGCTCGTGAATTCCTCCGCATCGGCAATTTTCTGAGCACGAAGGCCAACAATGCCGGACAAGTTTGACGATTACACGGTCCATTTTCGATTTCTCGACATAAGCAGCCAGGGGAAGAAATTTTCTGGTGAATCCCGAACGACTTTCTAATTACCTCATAGGTAACTGACATAAACTCGAGTCACGGACACGTACAAGTTTGTAACAGACATTCATGGCAAAATAAAAATCAGTTTTTAAAAATAATTTAGTTAAAAAAAAAAAGTAAGAAATACAATACAATAAAATATACTGAAGCTATGAACTTCAATTAAATACTGAACGAATTATTAATTGTAATCTTCGAACAATTCTTTTTGTTCTCATTCCGAATAATTATGATAGTAAGTTTATCTTCAAAGTGTAAAGCTAAAGACTTAAATGTAGGAATAATGTTCAAAGAATACTCAGGCTCACTGAAGATTTCTTTTAGCGAAAGAAAAAAATGGTTGAAGGCGCGTAAAATCGTAAAACGACAAGAAGTATTTGTGAGCGACGGCAAACCCGTCAAGAGATATATTTCATTATTTATGGCGGTCATTAATGGTACTGTTCCGGTTTTCTTGAGTCAGGTAAAGTTATATATCAATGCTCGTTCAATGTCTTACAGGACATCCGAGTCCGGAAGATCTTTTTTGTGAATGGTAAGATTGTTGTCTACAATGCATCTCGATTGCATAATACTAATCTAACTTTGGGACGACTTTGTATATCTCAACTGTTGCACGAATCTCTTAGAAATGTTTTTAATATCTTCACTCGATCATCTTTTTAGTTATCTATTCATTTTACTAAATTTTTATAATTAACTCCAATCAAAGTATGCTTCGCTAGCATCCTTAATTTTCACTTCTACGTACTTTTTTAACGCTGGAAATCCTTTTACGATACCTCAAGGGGAATAGACGAGAAATAATTTTGAGAAAATCGCTTATCTTCTTTTGAAAATCAAAAATTCACAAACAATGATATTTGTTAAAGAAAATAATAATCTTCGATGATTCGAGAGTCGAGATAATCCGATTCTTTTTCCGAGTATTAGAGGAATTTTTCGTTTCAACAACTACCTCCAAATTTATTAATACCCTTGTGCGCGCTAAAATTTATCTTATCCAAACTTCAGGGGAAACTGTTGATGAACATCTTACCTTGAAAAGGGTATCCAGTAAAACAAGGTCGCATCATTGAAAAGTTTGTTGTCACCGTCATCTCAGCGCGGTTGCGCCTCCTCTCATGAAACCCAACAAAATTTCTCCCTCCACTGTTCCTGGCTGCGCAGCAGCATTCACAAAAATTAAAAACTGTATCACATGGCAATCGAACGAACACAGTGTATCCCACTGAACCTCCAGTTTTGCTGGAGCTGACGAACTATCACTCAAAATCCGAGTTCGTACGTATCCTCACCGTCGATCAGGATCAACCAGACACCACTATAGTTCTTCTACGGTTGGGCTAGACCTGGACAGGTCGGTTCTCTGATCCTGACTAGTCTTCTGAACCACTCGCCACTGGGATAACTAACGCTTGGCCACTCCCATTCAGGTCTTCTTGAAGGTAGACGATAGTGGGGAAACTTTGTGGCCACCAGTCGGCTGCTCTCAGCTCGACACCGAGGAAAACGTGCTCGAGCCGCTTTCATATCTGTTTCTCAGCAATCGTCGACCAATCCATGCTTTCACAGGCTTTACTGGTCGCGCCCCTGAAGGCACGCCCAGTAACGTAACAGCGAAAATCAACGGGGAAGGACTGTGGAGACCATGCTGTCTTTCAGAACGCTGCTCCTTTTTCAGATATCTCGTGGTGGGGGCAGATTCGATGAAATGACGGAGGTTTGGACAATGTTTGGTTGATGCGAGAGGGTGGACGGAGTTTCTGTGCATTTTATAGCAGGATGATTGATGCGAGGGTGGGTTTTAAGGGATGCGACATTTTGGGGATGGAAATTCCTTGAGATAGAGGCGAATGTGTGAACTTTTATACGAAATCACTGAGCGATAATTGGTGGAAAATGAGAATGAAAGTAATTGGCCAGTCAGTAGTAGGGAGTGGTTTGTGGAAATCGATAGATTCCAAGATGAAAGTTTGGAGAATGTTCGAGGGTGGTTTTGTAAAGGGTTTATATTTACATCATTACAGGTAAAAGGGACGTTTCTTAGAATAAAGGAAAACCTGTAGATTCTAATTCGACACAGTCAACATAGGAATTAGAAGGTTTCCATTTCAATTTGTAGCGGCACAGAAGTCAGAGGATGTTGTTATTTTGCCTCGGGATATTGATACCTCCTTGATCCATGAAAAGTAACGATAAATAAACTCCGAGCAAGACAATGTCGCCGCTACATGCAACCGTCGAACAAAGACGAATTTGAATTTTTCGACTCTCATACAGTCGCATACAGTCAGTTGTCGATCAGGTATTAACAGTTCTTAACGGGTATAATACGAGTTTCACGAGTTATACGAGTTATCGAGTTATCCGCGAGTGATCATACACTGTCTTTGCGAATACGTTGTACGAGCGTCTCTCGACATTTATTGCAAATATATTTGGCGGGTTGCACCAGCAATTTCACGTTTCCATTTTATCAATCCCTCTCCACACCATCCACCACAAATTTATAAAGGATTGAAATTTCTATGGGAACCAAGAACGAACATTTGTGAAGGCCATCTTTCTTCGGGTATGTTTTGGTAGGGGTGGATTCGTTGCGCGGAACAAGGGTTACAAACACTGGATTTGTAGACTAGATCGATTTTTATTGGACCAAATCGTAGAGCGAGTTCTAGCAGAGTAGATTAGATTTCTCGTATCAAGAAGAATTTTTAAATACCGAAAAAGTACATATTTTCATAGACAAAAGTTTGGAATTCTATAGCGAAAATGAGTAGCAAGTCTAATAAACGAAGAAATCTCGATAAATTTCCTGTTCCTGGCCATATGCGAATTCACGGATGAGAGATTAGAAGGAAAAATTTTCGAAGTCGTCGCGAGAGCTGAGCAGCCCAGTCGACCGCGAACAAGTTAAGCAAGCGACGAGCGCAAATAACGCGATTCGCTTTAAGTCGTTCTCTAACCGGGGGTGTCGAGTGTTAACGCATGATCAAAGATCAACGGCTACTAACTTTCGCTTTTTAGGCCCACCATTTTTTTTGCAACCGGCGAGGAAATGACGATGCTCCGCTCGAAACAGGACGTGACACCCGATGTTCACGGTAAGAAGTTTAATTGAATCAAAAAGTCTTTCCCCTTTTTTCTCTTTTCATCATCAGACGATTAAATCAAAGATTTATAACGATCATAACGATTAAATGAAAGAAATATCATTTCTTTACTATAAAAGACATTACCTGTTTCGATTGATACTTTTACGCGGTGATTAAACTAAGTCAAAATCTTCAAAATGTTAAGCCAAATATCTTCGATCATTTTCCATCTCCTTATTTCAACTGATGGTTTTTAATATTTCACGATAAAACAATAATTTTGTATATAGTCGAAGATATCGCACTCCGTAATTTGAAACTTCGCACTCCAATTAAACTAAACCCTCAGATTAACCCTACACCCTTAAATTGAACTAAGTCCTCAGAGAACCTAATCCTAACCCCTAACCCTAACCCTAACCCTAATCTAAATATTTTTATATCACTATCAATCTCTTTATCCCAAGTAATAGTTCCAAACAAATGGAATCGATAATGTAATTATAAAATAAAAGAAATAAAACTTTTATATGGTGAAAGATACGCCTTCTGCTGGTCAAAAGTACTGTATTGTACTTGGACTAAATTCCAATTCTCACAGATGCAACCTAAACATCTTGAACTCACCCTAAAGAGATCCATCTTTAAGTCAAATGATGGTTAACGTTTCCTTCAATTATTCCAAAGCGTAGCGTCGATTCGTTCCGTGAAAAATGTCTAACATGGACACAGTAGACTTTCAGGGAAAATCCAGAAAAAAGAGTTCATTGTTCTAGGGGAGAAGAGGAGAGGAGGGTCTTGCTCGGTCGCTGATGTCCCATCAATGTTTATTATCGTTGGTGTTTGTGCACACCGTACGTTCCGAAGCATGAGAATGACCAAACAGAAGGCACACCGAGCGTATTGTGAGGGGGTGGAAAAGCGGAAGAAAACTAGCGGAGGACCACCCGGTGTGGCGTCCTGGCCAAAGTAATATGGCGTTACTTTTAACAGAGCTGCCTGTTCGACGGTATCCCGCGGCGAGGACAAAACAAACTCCCTAATGTCTTCATGCTACTCATCGCGGACCATCCTCCATCGGGGATGCAGGAGAAAGAGAAAGATGAGAGAGAAACTCTCCTCTCAACAGCCCTTGTCCAGTGCGTTGCAGCCAGTTGGTAGCTGCTCGAGGATTACCGCACCGAGAGGAACGCTGAAGATGCTCATCCAAGGTTGCGACGAGATCGTCACGGTATCGTCGGAATATCGTTGATGGCCAGAGCGTGAAGAGAGGAGAATTCAGCGGGGGATGGATGAAGATGTAATTGATTTACGGGGATGCCTTTGGGCCACTTTTGCTTGTTTGTTTTCGGGCTGTCAGCGGTGACAAGAGGCGTCCTTTTGAACGCCTTCCCTTGTTCACTAAATTTTCGAATGAGGTATGGAGATTAGAGGGAGGATTGAACAGAGGCGAAAGACCAGAGATCGTTCACGACCATTTGCCCTTGTTTTAGGTGTTTTGGAGGTTGAGCAACTTTTGGAACTTGAGAACCTTGAGGAACTTCTGCAGGTTGAGCAGCTTCTCAACTAACTACTGAAGATAATAGATGCCTTTTTATTATTGTATGTTATATGTGTTTCCTTTATTATTAAAGTCATTCGTATTTCTATAAATGAACATATGGAAGTGGTTCGTGAATTCGTCGTTGTGAAATAAAATTAAGAAATCAATAAAAACTAAAATTGATGAATCTGGTTTCTGGCTCTGATCGACCCCCCTTAACCTTAGGCCACCAGCGAAAACACAGGACTTAGGGAGTCCAAATAAAAAGTCTCTCTAATCCTCCCAGTCCAAATCTCTGTCCTAGATCATCCCATGCTGGACACCTGTCACACCTTCTTTCTCATTGTCAAATTCCTTATCGCTCGTTATCATCGCGTATAGCATCGTCCGAAAAAACCTCTGGCACCAGTGTGTAACCGATCCTGACATAATATCGTGAGCAAAAAACAGGAGGTTCGGCTGACGTAAGTGTGAAACAGCGGTGCGAGAGATACGTATCTGGTCTCATGGCTCGCCATGAAAAGGGGGCGTAGTCAGGAACCCGCAAATAAATGCAAATTGCTTGAGACCTGCGATCCGCCCACCTGACAACGAACTCAACAGCCCCGGAACACCGTTACGCCGTAAATAATCCACCCCCTTCGAGCATCGAATCCCTTCCTCTTCGTGCATTCTCGTTACTTTTCCTCTTCCTCTTCCTCTTCTCCTTCGCCCTTTCCTCGCGCCTCTCTTCCACAGCACCGCCATTCGTCGCAAAGGGCTCGATGTGTAAATAGGGGATCGTAAATATCTGGCAAGGCGGCATAATGGTTCCACATGAAGATGCGGTTCGATGCCGGAGACCGTAAATCATCTTGGGTTTCCGAGGTACTTCCGTGCAATCGGTTCTATGATGATCTAAGAAATTGCGGTTTTCGAGCTTTCAGTGTTCATGGTTTTCGAGACTTTTATTGTTTGAGTGACTCGATTCTGGCTAATATTGGCGACTGTTTACAGTCGAGTATTGTACAATGAATGAATAGGAGATGGAGGGCCGAAAAGAAGGCAAGGAGGACTACGAAAGTTAATATGTTTGAGGCTTTTGTAGAATTCTAAATTACGCGAAGGAACAAGGTAGAGGTGTAAAGTAAAGACCTGAGTTTTAATGGGGAATCGGGGATGCAATAAAATACTTGTGACGAGAAGAGGTGGGGGAAAAGTTTCATTGAATGTACTAGATATAATGCGTAATTCTTATAATTACAACTCTACTATGACGTGATATTAAAGGGTAATTATACCTGCATTTTTTTGTACTTTTAATGTACACTTTTAATTTGAATTTTTGTATAAACAATATATGAAATCGTTAAATAAAATCATTACCGCAAAATATAATTAACTACTTAAATAATTTTTAGACTTCTTTGTTTTTTAAGTAGTGAATATTAGTCCTGGATACTTGGAAAATTGCGCGGTGGACAGAGTAGAGGTTGGTTTGTTCGAGTGCGATGGAAACGTATAGCTCGCTGTGGCGCGCGAGGTTGGCTAAGTGTTAACTACAAATCCTAATCCACAAGTACATCAGAACCTTAACTATCGTTTGAAGTTAAAATTCGCTAATTTTTGATGCAACAGATACAGTTAATATCTCTTGTGTTAGAAAATATAAACCAACTTTACCATTTGTAATTCAATAAAATTTGGAAAAGGTGATATTCTTTTATCAAGCAAGTGATATTTCAGGCAAATCCTATAAGTTGATTTGAAAAAAAGAAGGAGGAGACGTAATTAAAGGAGTGATATAGAGTTATAGCCTGATGTCCGAAAGATAATCGAAGGAAGAATTGGTCAGGCAAAGGTGGCTGGTTCCTTTGACCAAGCTACTCTGGCCGCT